GGCCCCCCCCCCCCCCCGCTCGCGTAGACGTTGGACAATCTCGGGGCCTGTTGTCCCACACGCTGATATCACGATATTCCCATTGTAAATCATGGCCTAACCGTGGAACGAAAGGCGCCATGCAGTGTGGGGCGGGTTGCGGAGTCAAAGGCAAAAGCCGTGCACGCCTGGTGCTGCGACGGAGTCAGGGCATGAGCCTTCTGCTTATGAGATCAGGATTGACCGGGGTAACCGACTGACCAATGAAAACGCGTTCCCCGGACAGGACTGCCTCGTAGGAGATTGGCCGACGGTCACAGTCTCGGAGTTAGCGCGTTTCAAGCGTGTGCCTGCCCAAAAGATACTATGGTTAAAAGGAGATGAAACATGGGTGAGATTGTGCGTCTATCATTCGTCCTTGTTTCTGGGCAAGTCTGCTGCCCTCAAATGCACCCTCCCTCAGGTAGCGCATGAACTTGGTAGGGCTTGGAGACTGCGTGCTTTCGTAGACTGACTCAAAAGACTTACCGACAACTTCGACACAACGCACGGTCACCAGCAAGAGCAAGAAACACACACCCAATTATACAGCATCTCCGCAGCGAAATGTCTGACTCGATCTTACACAAGGACGGGGTATTCCTATTCCCCCGAGAGTGATTTTCTATAATATATAAATGCAGCTGCAGCACACCCAACAACTAGCAACGCATATGAATATATGCTAAAAAGAAAGAAGTTAGTCCAGTACCCAGCCGGTTTTCCTCCACTCACTGACAAGACTCCACCACCACATCCCCTTCGACTGAGGTTGTATCTCGAACGGGTAGTCTTCCTGTGAGGTTTTGAGTTTTTTTTTTTTTACTTTCTAAAAACAAGTACGACTTGACTTGTAGACACCTTCCCACCAAAGGCAACTTCAGAAAATGATCTCCGACATGTGCTATAATAGACCGAAAACAGCACTCGGTTGACCTACTGGTGACATCTCATCTAGGTTTCCCCGGCCCAACTCGCCTAAGTTGGGGATGAAAAACACTACCGCAGATAATGTTACTGATGATGTCAGTTGCCCCCATTGTACCATCCCTCCCCGAAATCGACAAGACTGGCAACTCTACAGACAACAGAAACCTAGCATGTGACAAGACGAGCTTGTAACCATATGCATATGAATATTGAAGAGTAAGGCTGCTGGTTGTGTTGTCATCAAACTTCAACCAGAGCAATGTACATGCGCCACGGCGACCGGACGCACAAGGACGAGTTACAACAATCAATACTGCGGCTGACGTGCTTCAAGTTGTTTCGTGATACGCATACTTCAGTGGACGCGAAAGCAAGCAAACTCAAAACATCAAAGGAAAAACAAAAAACCTACACCGAGAAGTAAAAAATACTTCCACTTGCGGATCTAGATGCTCATGTCCCCCTGCGCCGAGCAAGGACGAGTGTACCCCCAGCGGCTAGAAACGAACGCAACATAAAGCAACAAACTGATGCCACGTGATTGCTACCAGCAAGGCTGCACACAATCCATCGAGACAAGACGAAAACTGTGCAATAAACTAGCAGAGCAGTCTGATTCTGTCCAGTGTAACCCGGAGGACATGGACGGACAGAGCCGTGGAAATCGAACACGAAATTACACTGCTCCACCCCCCCACCTCGTCGGTCACAGAAATTGCTCAAAGTCATCCAGGCAACAATCATTGCCCTCTTCGTTGAATATATTTTGGGATCCAAGCGTAAAAGACGTGACCAACGTCCTATGCGCTTTGCATGAACAAAAGTCAAGCTACAATGTATGCGTTGTTATATCCATGCCCACACCCTGTCCTCAAGCAAACCATGAAGATATTTAAAAGGAGCACTTGTAGAAGCCTACCATTAAGACTTCATCAAGGCTTGGAGTATCTGAGCAATCACACCCTCTTCGCCAACCACCACCACACGGCCTTCACTGTCCGCGACCGACGGGTCACGAACAGGCTTCCCTCTTCGAACCACCCTTTCTCCTATCCTCTCGTGCGTTACTGCTGCATGTTGGTCCTTTTTTGGTCGCCCCCGTCTCGTGGGCGGTCGGTAGCTCCAGACACAAAGCAAAGGACAAGAAATCAAAAGTACGCCACACCAAGCACGCTCTCACTGTTAACTGATGACGAGCGATGCCGATAATTGTTCTAAATAAAGCCAACACAAACAGCGAACCGATCAAAAACACTTCGAGTAAAAAGTATGGGAAAATACATCATTTTCGTGCCTGGCCTCCCTAGCCAGCGCGCATACGAATGCTCCACCAACAACACCTCATACGCAAAGGCAGCGCAGAGCGGTGAGAGTTAGCGTAGTGGCAACTCGGAGGCAAGGCCATTCGGAGTCATGCTGATCTCCAAGAATGCAGCAGTGTTGATTCTGGCTGCTTTTGACTCACAAGTCCTCAAGGGCATGCATACAAAAACAAAAGGGCGATCGGGCGTATGTGCGTGAAGAAATCCCCCACACTAGAGTGCTTCCCTCGTCATCGAAACAAACAACGCTCTCCATGCGGCGGCGACATCCAAAAATCACACGGCAAGCCGCCGCAGTAACCCCGCCCATAGACCCTAACTACAACGCTCGGTGGAGTGAAAAAGGCTTGTTGGCCCATTGATATGCGTCTGGGGTGGTCGCGTTGTAGTTCTCACGCTAATTGAAGAACACTCTCAAGTACCCTTTTGCTCCAACTCGCCCTGTACATTCACGTTCACCCTCCCCCCCCCCCCCCCCCCCCCCCCCCCCCCCCCCCCCCCCCCCCCCCCC